CAAGCTCCGACGATGAGTTGTCAACAGACATGGGCGGTGACTCTGATGATGACACCGACGCTGCAAAGAAGGACTTCCGCATTGTGTTCTCACGCACACTATCTGTCATATTGTCGTGGTCAAACATATGCATATTTGCATCCTGTCAGGATGAGGACAACAGTGACATGCCCATCCTTTCGCCCCGCAGTGCAAAGCCGAAAAAGCAGACGAAAGAGGATGGCAAGAAGCCAAGCTTGAGCGAGGTTCGGTTCTGCACCCCACACCCAAAACTGTAAACCCCAACTGTTGATACTATAAACCTAATGTTGGGCTGGTCTTAGACATGGCAGGCGACGAAGCGCAGAAATCTGGTGCAGGTTGGACTGCTGAAGCAAGCTTGCCGACAGTTTGTGCACCCCAGCTGGAAGCTTATCGAGCAAGCTGGGGGCTGGACGATGCGGGCGCCCAAGAAGACACATGCTCCAGACGCCTCGAGTATCCAGGTCTTGCTGACAGGCCGGTTCTATATTTACCAGGCTTCTGAAAGGAGGCTGAACAAGGTGAATGCAGTGCACAACATGAACTACAAGGCCGGTTTGATTATATGTTTTGCTTGGGTGGTGCGACTTAGAATCCTGAAATATTAAGATGCCACTTCAGATCAACGTCTGTCACGGGGTGACCATCCATTGGAACAACAATATCTTGGGCACGCCTGCTACCTAGCCTCTGGACTTGATTCTTGCATTGCAGCTTGAAATAATCATACTCCAGACTGTGCTTTGTCTAGGTACAAGACGGCTCGAATGATAGCCGGATGGATACCCATCGAGGACTGAACATGTCGTTCTGAGCTCTGAGACGAGGACAGAAGCCCACGGTGTTTTGTGCACTGCCGTGATTTTGCAGCCTCGAAATCGCAAGAAAATATCGGGCTCTGTAGATGCCTGCTTGGGTGCACACTTATCGATTACCACAGGTTTGGGAAGCCGTGACCAAAAGCTTCTGCTGTGACCTGCTGGCTCGTTCCAGTATCTTGCACAACGTAGCTAGATAGAGCAGCAGCTGGGAGGCCCCAGGCCCCAACACATGAGAACAGATGGAGGCCAGAGCTCTGAACTGGCCCTCTCTCCCTCGACCTCAAAGCTTTTGCGGCTCATGGGGGTACCTTTGCTTCTGCTGGGATCTCAGCTTATGGCAAAGGACGCACACCCAAAGCTCCAATCCGAAAATCCGCATTAAGCCCAAAGCCGAGCCCGCTCCCAACCCCTAAAACGACCCTGACTTCTCAATCTGCAAAAGCTTATATCTAGCTCCAAACATCCAGGAATCCAAAACCAGAAACTCTAAATGCTAACAGGTTGAGATTCTGTAGGCCTAGAGAACAATATACTGCAGGCCCTTCAAAACTATACCATCCCAGCAAAACCCCATCCCCCAGGATACATTGCTGCGACTTTATGACGCAGATCACCCCGGCTGAGTCGCCTCTTGCAAAGAGAGCCAGGGACTCGGATCCATGTACCTCTGAAGTGTCTGGCTCACGACATATGCAACTTTGCAAGGATTTGAAACTCCTCGATTTCTTTTCTGGACAAGGAAACCTATATCGGCAATTCTGCTTGGGCCTTTGAACTTATTTGCATGGCTTCTAGAAAGAGTTAACGCTAGCTTGTTGCCGAGGTTGCAAGCAACAAAGAAGGCCAGGATCGGCCCGTGTCAAGTTGTCTTTGTTTGTGCAATGCAACTAGGGTGTCTTGATCGTTTGCTCAGTGCCTACTACGATATCGCAGCCCGACCCGATCACAACGATCTACTGACTGTGCCTGCTGGCCTGCATTCAGATTCAAGAGTCTCGAATTCATCCCTTTTCAACGCACCCGAAAGAGCCTAAAAATCCGAAAGCCCTCTTAAAACCCTAAGCCTTGAATACCCTAAATAATCCAAAGACCCGAGACCCTGAAGACCCTAAGCCCTAAAAGCCTTATTAATTAAGCCCAGGAAAGGCTTCCTTTGCGCGATTCGGCTTGTTCTACGGCTGGAAGAAGACGCTCTAATGTCCGTTGGACTACCGTGTACGTCATATGTATGGATGAACAAAGGAACGCACTGCCGGAGCCATGCCCAGCCTTTGGGCAACTGCTCTCATGCTTATGTACGGGAAGCGAATGTGTCTATTGATATGCAATGGAAGTGTGCATCTGTTTGTCTGGTGTTCTACGTTTTCGTGACTTTTTGTGCGACCAGCCTCGGAATCTCAGGCTGACGACCCGATCAGTCTTGCTGCTCCTTCTTGCGACAGCAAGATCTATTTATTGGATATTGGAACAGCCCCGCTCCTCCCAGCTTCCTCTGCATCCAGACTGGCTTTACTTGGTCCAACAGATGCAAACTTTGGGTCTCCGGTATCGGAAACAATCTTTGCCATTGCCCCAGTCACATGTCTTGTCTTTCCCACTTCATGTAGCTCTTACGGCGAGGTTCGATTGTATATCCTGGCATATTATAATTTACAACACACCCTAAACCCTAAACCCTAAACCCTAAACCCTAAACCCTAAACCCTTAGTGCTTCCTAGCACATGTCGGGGCTTTCTGGGCTACTGCTTTGCAGCTTTAAGGTGGTGCTTGGGGATACTTGTCGTTGGAAATTAAGGGTTTAAGGCTTCACGGGTTGAGTGTTTTGCTGGTTTGGACCGCAGTGCTTCGGGTGTTTGCCGCTTGGAACTTAACCAAAGGTTTTGGCAGCTTGAGGGATTTGGGACTTTGGGGGTTTAGGGTAGGCTGTTGTCTAGAACGTAAGGGTTTACAGCTTCAGAGGGTATGGGTGTTCTTTGTTTTAGGAGAGAGTCTTGAATCTTGGTGGTGCTAGTGTTCTTTGGAACTTCAGGGTTTCTACTTTCACGGCTTATGGCTTTGGAGTTCAAGCTACAGAACAAATCATCTAGAGACACGAGTATCAAAGCCCGAACCGAACCCCATTAACGCAACCCCAACGTCCTTGGGATTTCCTAGGGCCTGCAATTAATTGTAGCCACATAATTGGAGCATGATTGTAAAGCCGTAGCAGCTACTGGTCTGGAGTTCTCCCAAAAAAATGAACCCAATAGAGAAAATCCTAATTAGCCTAGTCTTAAACCCCAGCAATGTACATCCCCTAAACCTCGCTGCTGCCCAGTTGGATGGGAACATGGGGCCACTTTGCCCCGAAGGCGAGCATGGCATTGTCCATCACGCAAGGACCTGAGAGCACGCATGCACATATTTGGTCGCCTATTGGAACTGCAATTAGTTTTATTCAGACATGCTCTGCATAGCCACGAGGCCGTGGGTAAAGAGATTGTACCGAAAGCTCACGCAAAGACGACGCAAAGCTCTACATCTTTCTTCTCTTGGAATGGTGATCCGAATCAAGAATAAATTTGGGGAAGAAAAGGTGTAGCTGCCCCAGCTCGATCATTCATTGAGTCTCTGGCATCCGTTGAGCAGCAGCAGCATACGTTGGCTTCCCGCAGACTTCCTCCAATCAGACTGTCGACTCAGGTATGGATCCGAGAAGCTCAAATCCAGTCAGGTTTATCCACGTGGCTACGCAAAGAAGGTCTTCGACGAGCACAATGCATTCAAGGCTTGAAAGTTAGCTAGCTGCTAGCTACATATCTCTGCAGAATGCATGCATGCAGGCCAGCCACAAAATGCATCTTCGATCACAGCTGGCAAATGTTCTATGGCAAGCTGACCAGTTGAAGACACTGCAGGCAGCATCTTTGCAGTCTTTGCACACATACGTACTCTGATGGCTCGACACCAATCACGGCTTGCCTGGCAGGCTGCTCGCCCGTGGCACGATTGGTCCGGATCGGACCTGGCTGAGGTTAGGGAGTTTCTGGTAGACAGAGTGAAGGATGGCTCTTTCAAGCCAGCATTCAACAAGGGGCTCGAGTAGTGCTAGCCGGCTAGCTAGTTCAAAGTGACCCTGTGCAGCAGCCTGAATCCCAAATGCTCCTTACCAACATAAATACGGAGCCCGCTAGAGTCACTACATCCATCATGGGCTCTCCCGCAACCAATCTTGCTGGAATGGGTTCATCGGGATCGGACTTGGGCTTGGGCTGCAGGGGTTTGTTTGCTTTCCAGACCTATTCGTGACTTGAGGCGGAACATGCCCAAAAAGCATCAGCGTGAAGTAGCGTGAAATCTCCGTGAAAGGCCCCCATTCCCCGTGACAAGGACCCCGATCCCCGTGAATTCAGCGTGAAATCCGATACCTCTGAGAACCTTCGATCCTAAACCCAAAAAGGTAAACCCTAAACCCTGTGAAGCCGTCTGCAAGCTCGCTTTGAGTATTTTTGTTTAAGATTGCTGTGCTCTCCGGACTTATTTGCTATGTAGCCGTTTGAGCTTGAAGGACACAGTGGCAGTTTTGCCTTCCAGGTGGGGCAATGCCAGTAGACAAAAGGCTAGTGCAGGAGGCCATCGCCAAGGCCAAAAGCCGCCAGGCAAAAGTTAGGAAGCTTATGGATTCTGCAGAGCCCCAACAGTCGCTTCAGCCTTACCACAATACCATATGGTCAGAGAACTTCTAAATCCCATTACGGAAGACTGTCGATTTTGCCAAGGTCTGGCAAAGGTCTATGTTGGGGCCTTGGGCTGTCTTTCGGTTTCAACCCCAAAGATCGGATCCTTATTTGGCTCAGGTCCCAACCCAGACACTCAGGAGACGCAGTCCTGGGACATGTTCCAGCAGGCTGGCCTTCATTTGCACCGAAGTCGTTGAGCGCTGCCTGCAGAGGGAAGAGAGGGGTTTAGGGATTTAGGGTTTAGGGGTTTAGGGGTTGGGGGGTTTGGGGGTTTAGGGGTTTAAAGGTTTAAGGGTTTAGGGGTTTGGGGCTTTAGGGCTTTAGGGCTTTAGGGCTTTAGGGCTTTAGGGCTTTAGGGCTTTAGGGCTTTAGGGCTGTAGGGCTTTAGGGCTTTAGGGCTTTAGGGTTTTTTTTTTAGGTGAAGCCACTGCTTGGCAGGATGCAGACATGGCTGTGCCAGAGTCTACATGGGTCAAGACCGACCAGATTGTGGAGAAGGCCCCGACAGGGAAAGGCACAGGCCATCAAGCCCTGCAGGCTGAGGCCCCGCAGAAGGCCCCGACACCCAGCAAGGAAGCCCCCAAAGAAGGAGCCCCAGCGCACAGTGCCCAAGATGAGCTTATGAATGAGACCCCCAGTGATGCCGTGCAAGCAACCCAGCTGGATGATGTTGCACCGGAAAGCAAGAAGCCTCCCGCCGATGCAAGTGCGGGTGACTGGCAGGCATGGCCAGAGTCATGGTCTGATGGAACGGCTTGGCAGTGTTGGGGTGGATACTCTGATTGGCCGGATTATTCTTGGGGTGCAGGTTGGTATGCTAAGGACTGGAATGAACACAAAGTTTCCCAGGACCACCTCCAATGGCGGAATCGGGCAGACAGCTTCCAGTCCTCTGCTACTGAGTCACCATATGGCAAAGCATTGTCCGAAGGCTCTTTGGGGACTCCGGGTCACAAGAGAGCGAGCAGCCTGGATTCTGAGATGCTTGCAGCATTTGCAAGGCTTGATACGGTGGACAGGCTTGCTGACCGGGACTTGCCACAGGTCGCCAAAGCCTTAGACGCGTCTTTTGCGGATGCTAAGACACCAGACAAAAAGGCAAGCCAGATGCCGACCCCCAGCACGGTCACGCCCCAGAGCTCGCCGCCGTCTTCGCAGCAAAGCTCTCCCAGTTCTGCCAAGACGGAGAAACCAGGCCCGGACAAAGCTTCTGATGACCCCACAACCACCCAGACAGACAGCCAGCCCCAAAAGACAAGTGAAGGAAACGCAGCCGCAGAAGCCCAGGAGGGAGAGATGAGAGAGAAGATAGGCAAAGAAGATGAAACAACAAAGGCCGAAAAAAAGGCTGAAGTTCAAGCCGCAAAGAAGAAAGCAGCGCACGCACGATATATGCGGTATTGGAGGTCTGTGCATGGTGGGGTCCCCAGATTCTACATCATGTAAGCATGGTCAATGACAACCCGTTGTTATGAAGCTGTATGCTGATTCTACCATCACATGACTCTTTCTTAATCTCCCGTGATCTAAGAATGCAAGAAGACACCATCAGAAATCCGAAAGATGGGTGCAGGAGCCAAAGGGGGCTACTTGGTTTGCATGACCGTTATTGTATCCCTGGAATTCCCAGCCTCTTCGAAACCAGGATGTCGGGCTCGTCTGCAGAGGTTGTCACCTCAGGAACCATATTGGATGAGACTTAATTCTGCACCACCTCATCTCCCGATTCGTCCCGACAGTGGTTAATATGCTAGTGATCACACTTCGGCACACAAGCTGTAATCCTGCCACTGAGACTCCACAAAGAACAGTGTACTCTTCGAAGCTTGGCTGAACTGTGGTGGCAAATGGGAAGAAAGCCAGCTCTACATCAATTGCAAGAACAAGAACAGCCACAAGAAGAAAGGTGTCCGAAGGTGGATGCTGAGAAGTGAGATTGAAAGCAAGTTTGGTGCTGAGAGTGCTGAGGCAATCATTCTCAGGAAATTGAATGATGAGAAGCTTCGCGAGTCAGAGGTCAAGAAGCATCCGGATCTGCCAGATTCGGTAGATATGATGCAGTTCCTCATCTTCGATTCTGAGGTGGAAATCGACCAGGAGGAGGAAGTGATGGAGATGCTCTACAAGCTTGCTGAAGCCGGCGATTCTGATGACTCTTTTTCGTCAGACACCAGTAGCGATTATAGAAAACACAAAGACAAGAAAGACAAGAAAGCGAAGAAAACCAAGAAAGACAAGAAACCAAAGAAGGCCAAGACAACAGCTTTACACTAGTTAATCCCGAATCACCCGATGTGTCATGTCTGCTTGACTTACAAACCTCGTGTAATAAACTGCAAAGCCACTGAGATGTTAGTTCCTCAAGGAGAAGCGAAACAAGAAGACGAAGACAAGCAAAGACAAGCTCACGAAGGAAGAGAAAGATTCCCAGAAGCAGCTGAAGGAAACTACTGCCAAAGCGAAAGCTGTCATACGCTAAGCCAACCCAATTGAGCCAGTGACTTTTCACATGGTACGTCTCTTCCATGAATCGCCATGCCTCAGGCGATTTCAAAGGCTGGAAAGAAGATCCAGGACAAGGTCGAGCTGGACTCATTGAGCGCCAAGCTGCTCAGGGCTAAGATTTTGAGGGTCGTAATCGCAGGTTGAAGGGGTAGGGTTTGACCAAATCTAAGTTATTTCTATGTGACAACCATATCACCAGCTCTCTTGCTTTGGCTCCAAGGGCCCAGCATCTCCGAGCCGCTGCCGAAAACGATCTAAAGGCGCAACCTCGGACGTTGTTGGGCTTTCAGTGCCAAGTTTTCGAAATGGGTGGGATAGGTGGCTTGTACGGGATTGAGTCCTAGATCTTGCGATTACTTTTTGGTTCTTTCTACGTGCTTTGTTTCGGTTTGCTAGGGGATGTAAGGGTTCATGCTCATAGACTAAAACCATATAACCTGAAGCTGCCAAGCCCAATGAAGCAAAGCACGGCCCGAAGTGCCCCAACTAATCGATTATTGCTGATGTCGTGGTTCCCGCACCGAAAACCTACATCCTAGTTTTTCTCTTTAACTACTAAAGTTATTAGTTCTATCTGGCTCTCTAACAAAATCCATCACGAGCCCCGGCACACGCCCCCCCCTCCCCCTAAGCCTAAACACAGACTGGTTCTATTCCGTGCACTGGCATGCCGAACACCCCGTTCTGAGGTTGTGAAATAGACTACTGTGGCTTCTTACCAACCAAGCCCCAAATCTTAGACCGTGCCCAAAACCCCCGAACGGAAACCCAGATACCCCCTTGCCTAAAATCACGGAGCCCTGCAACATCTTCAACCTATTCAAGGCCAATAGATTGCTAAGAGTCGCAATCTTGACCAGAAATTTAGAGGGCTCCTAAACGATGCAAACCTATTCTCGAGAATCTTTCAAAACCGTAAACCCCGAACCACATGCAGGATGCAGAGCAGAACCTCAAGAAAGCACGGAGCGAGCTCCAGTCTGCTCTCGACACCAAGGCAGGATCGACCCCAATGGTTTAACGCATGTGTTGCCCCAACATAACGACCGAGGAATGCTTGGATACTCTGCTCCGCCTGACGACGAATCTGAATACATCAATCAGTGGGTTCGAGCAAGCTGGTGCTGTGATCAAGGGCCAAGCCAAGCCAAAGGCTAAGGCGAAGGCCAAGACAACGTGAAGGCATAGCATCGGCGGGGAGGTTCCATGCATAACATGTAATGTAGCAGTCGTGTAGCGGCTAATCATATGCAGGTACCTCTGAGGGCTTAGGGTTTAAGCTGGTGCTTTCTGCTTAGGGTTAAGGGTTTAGGTTTAGGGCCGTTTAGGGTTTAGTACATACAACCTCCGGGCGCTTGGGATCTTTCCTGATGCTATGTCACTTTTGAAAGAAACTAGAAACTAGAAGTGAGCAGGGGCATGCTTGCGACGAGTGTATCAGTTTGAAGTCTTCGAACAATGAACAAGCGAGGCATCGATCTCTCATGTGCAGCGGGAAAACCTGCTACAATGCACAGTCGCAAACCACAAAGCGCTTTGTGGTGCTCATACTGCATCCTGGTGCTGTGCTTTGGGGACTCCTTTTCCCTAGTTCTGGAAGAGGAGCGGGTCTCACAGCGGCGATGCAGTTGATGCGACGGTGCTACAAAATAGATTCACAAGAGGTGTCGATGAACGGATCACAACAGAAGTCTGTATGTCTTGCTGATGCTGCTCCTTTGCAGGTGACGAAGATGAACATCGTGATAATACTGGCACGGTGCAGGAGCTGCTGGAAAGGATCGGTGATCGAGAGCCTCGCCGAAACTATTCGGTGAACTAAGTGTGTGGGTGTGTCTGTGTGTGTGTGTATGTGTTTGTTTGTTCCCTTGTTCTTGCAGGGGGAAAGCGCTCGGATGGCTATGAGCAGTGCAAAGAACACTGCCATGGCTCCTCGTCAGTGTTGAGTTTAAGATTTTTGTGAAAACAAAAAATATTAACCCATTCCACATTGTAGTTTCCTCTTACGTGTATTGACAAGCAGGAAAGCAAAGGAAACTGTTCCAGAAGAACGGCAAAGCTTGCAAGCTATCAGTGTGAAAAGAACAGTGCCCGAGATTTCTACAAAGTGGTCCCGATGTCCCTGGCTGCTAGGCAACGAATATTCATACACGCCGGAGTTTTTTCTATCCCGACTATTCGTGGCCCATGTTTTAATCTTATATGATCCTTTTGTGTTTCCCTAGCCAGCATGCATCCCAGGACCCAAAGATGATTACAGTTCCCGTGAAAGTCCAATATGAGGCCATGGATGAGTCTGCTGATGACACTGATAGTGCCATCGAAAATGATAAGAAGACACGAGTGACATCGATGGGCATCCCAATGCTGGACCCGCATGATATTCTGCACTATGTGCATTCAGTCCTGGATTTGACTGTCGCACCTGAATCTGTTCGCAGCTACTGGCGGCGATCTGCTGAGAGCGATGTGGGTTGGGCAAAAAACCAGCCTGATCATGATATTATTCCTGTAGGGATTTATGCTGACGAAACAAAATATGGAACGCACGAATCTCAAGAGAAAATCCTGGCAGTCTTTATGAATTTGGTCTTGTTCCGACCAAAGAATATCCGCCTCAGTCGCTTCTTGATTTGCACCATCCGCTCCAAATTCTTGCTACCTGGAACTGAAACACTGTATCCGATCTTTCGCAGGATTGTTTGGTCTATGGGGTGGGCCAGCAAGGGGGTGTTCCCCACGACAGGCTTTATGGGCAGTATGCTATCTGCCAAAGATCAAAAGAGCGCAGGCAAGAGTTTGGGTGCAAAGTTTTTGGTGACCGAACTTCGTGGTGATTTGGCTTGGCACAAGTTAATTTGGGACTTTCAAGATGGATGGTCGTCGACTTCAGTTTGTTTCTTTTGTGCAGCTACGGGCACTGGCCGCAGAAAAGACTTATTCTTCGAGCATGTTGGCGACGGAGCTTTGTGGCGAACGACAATACTCCGCGACACTTTGGAATGGATGATGGCAAAGCTAAACCTCAACAAACTTTGATTCTTGATTGATAGCACGGCTGGTGTCTTTTCGAAGGTCCTAAAGATCAAATTAGGTTCTTTATCTAAATGTTATATTTAGGTCCTTTGCTGCTGCTTCCAAATTTCGACGTGGATGTGATTCGCACATGTTCGATGCATAATGTGAATCTGGGTTTGCTGTTTACAGCAAACGGCAGCTCCCTGTTTCTCGCCACGCTGGTGCAAACTTTGGACTTGCTGTGGCCTAATTTAACATACGAAACATTGAATGAGCTTGGCTGAAGAACCGAGGTACACTCTGGCAAAATCAGGCTGGTACGGAAACCCTGCTCGAGACTTGGGCATTCTTTTCAAGAGAGCTCATGCTGACTTCAAGGTGTGGGCGAAGGAAAGGAAGATTCGTTCCTACCAGAGGAATTTCCGTTATGGTTTGGAGCCTCTGCAGAAGTAGGTGTTTCGGAAGTCTAGTAGTTGTCGTGTCGACGTAGTACTATGCAAGGGTTCTTAATCTTGCTGCTACATAGTTTGGTGTAGCTTCTCCTTTGATTCAAGAAATAAACTACGAAGGTTATGAAAAAAATTGCTGGAGATCTGAGAGCGCCTTCGATGAGTTGCAAAGCTTTCAATGGCCGCATCGTGCTGGAGTACTTGGCCGATGTATCAAGGTTGGCTTCGAGATGCACCTGTGCCAGGGGTCCTGGGCGCAACTTTGGGCATTGGCTGGAAAAGCAGGTTCGAAGTAATGGTGCTAGTTTCCCAGACGATCCGAAGATTCCATTGCAAGCTGTTGGAATGAAATTCGGAGACAAATTGTGTTGATTTGTAACATTTCGTGTCGTTTCAAGCAGTCACGTCGTCTTGCCTTCTATTCTATCTACATTCCAAGGACGGCGATGGCACGATGGTTCGGGTTGACGGAGCGGGCTCCCCGTTTCTTGACGCAGTGCCAGGCCGATGATATTTATTCTGAGGGCATGCGCTTCATCAAGACCCATTTGGAACTGACTCGAATTTCTTGCAGGCCCGACCAACATTACGATAAGCATGTGGCTTCAAGACTCCTTTCCCTAACTAGGCCCCCCAAAGCCTACTTCCCCTGAAAGGCAAGGCGAGCTCACCTGGGCCTTAAAGCCGAAATTGCACACATTCGAGCACCAGTTGCTGGAAATCCGAAGGACGAGCTGCTTGGCTCAACCATTTTTTTGGATCATAAAAGGAATCATAAGACGGGATTTGGGAATTTCGCCGCCAAGGACAAAACACAAGATACCATCATTGCTTTACTGATGAAGACAGTATGAGATGGGTCAAGGGCTTGGCTCGTGCCGCGAATGCTGCCGGTCTTGAACGAGCTGTCATGGGCATGAACAGGGCACGCTTTCAGTCTATGAAGGCGAAAAAGCGGACTTTGATGGCCCGGAACACCGCCCGAAAGAGGGCTGCCCGAGACGACGACATTTCGATGACGCAGGAAAAAATCCAATCGAACTGCATCACCGCTGGCCCCGCTCCAATTAAGCTCTCAATCATTCCTTAACGGCTAACAGATTAATGGATGAGGGTCTTTGGTGTTGAAAGTTCTGGTCGTTGCAATACGTGCAACTTCACGCTTCGCATGAAACAACCCTAAATCCTAAACCCCCCTAATACTAAACTTCTGAGCCAACAACAATTCCGGCCTCGAACCGGATGCCTCATGGCAACTCTGCCGTACTATTACACAATAGCCGAACCCCCAGCCTCTCATTTACACAATAGCCGAACCCCCAGCCTCTCATTAAGCACTTGGACACTTCCAAACCCGTATTCTACGCTTAATCCTAAAATCCTGAAGCCGAATACTTCGCGCAAACACGAAAGCTGACCCGCAAACTTAGAACCTGAACAAAGCCATTTCTCCAAACCCAAACCCGCAGATCCCGGTGTCTTCATTTGAGGATTTCGGTGTTCGGCTTTTGTTTCAACAACAAGGATGCGTGAGAGGGGTGGGCTCTCAAGAGTGATCGGAGGCCTTTGCGTGAAGGCCCTGGTTCCCAAGGCCCCAAGAGGGCTAGGGTATATATATATATATATATGTATGTATGTATGTATGTATGTATGTATGTATGTATGTATGTATATACATAATCTTTCCAAACACAGGCACACATACATTTATGTATATGCACATATTGTGTATATATACGCACAGACTATAACATACAAAATACGTGCATAACATATTCATGTATATACAAGTGCCGACAATATATTATTTGTAATTTTTGTGGTCTTTATATCTTCAAATACACACAAGCATATACATGGTATACGTTATCCATCATGTTTTCAATGTTGTACATGGCATTTAGAAGAATGGTGTACATTTGTTTATCAGATATTGCAAATTACATGCTACATAATATGGTATATGAATAAATATGAATATAGATAATTTAAATAAATAAATAAATAAATAAATGAATATATATATATATATACACACACACACACATATTTATGCAGATTCATATACAACCCATGTGTAAAATGTATGTGTATATTTATATATGTATATATATATATATGTATAACGAGTAAACACTTCATATGACATGCTACATATTATAGTCGGCCGGACATTCAAATAATATAATGACTATTACCTATATATACAGTATATGATATATTTTTGTATGGTATAAATATGTATATATGTATATGTGTATATATATATATATGTATGTACACACACTATATCACCATATCACAGTAGGTTTTGCGCAAATAATAATGCATACCATGTATTGTATGTTGTTCAACCTATTATGTACTGCCGTTGTGTATTTTGGGAACTCTCTCTCTCTCTCTGTCTCTCTCTCTCTATACATATATACATATATATATATATATAGGTATATGCATTACAGTTTATGGTATATACTATGCAACATAGTTTTAAGCTATATCTTGTATGATTGGAATGTTTATTATTCATGCTTTTATATGCTATTGATGATGCATTATGTTAAATACGCTATGTCAGATATTAAAAGGTAGATTGTAGTTTTATATATGCTTTGTTATCATCTTGTTTACTTTACACTCAAAGTCTATACTGTATACTTGGTATTCGAACATACTTTGTCGTATTATGTTAGGTCATATTTTCGTAATGTATTTACACAATGCACTATATGCGGTAGACTATATACCTTTTGCTGTTTACATTATACTATTTACTACACGCTACATACTGTGTGCTATATAGTATACACTATATATATATATTATTCCATATAAGTTGTGTGCAACAAGCTCATTACCATACTTGATGTGTATTTATATATATATATATATACATACATGTATAAACATTGCTGTTGCTGGCTCTCCCATTCCCTTCCTGGTACTATGCTTTGTTCGTTTGTTCGCCTTGGCGGCTTTCAATTACGAGAGTCGCCCGCAGCTCGCTCGCAGCGCGGGGGCCCCGTTTTGACGATGGGCCAAAAGTCCGTTTTCCACGATGTCATTAACATGGCATCATGCAATGCTGGGGAGGCTCGAGGAAACGCAAGAACTGTGCATTTTAGTTAACCAGTTAACCTGCAGTCTCTGCGCATCTCTGCAGCGTGCAGTATCCTGATGCCCTAGCAAATACAGGTTCCTGCGCTACTCGGGTCCCGAATCAGCAGGACGAAGATGATGGCGGCCCATGACTTCTCTTCTTCGCAGGGCTGCACCGCTTACAACTAGGTAACTAGGGCTAAGGCTTTAGGGCTTAGGGCATTGAAGAGAAGTTGTGTCGTTCCAAAGGGGCTTTAAGACGTAAGAAGGTGAACCTAGGCGCAACGTATTCCCCATATCCCAAACTCCATACATGCTATTGATACTGCTGTTGGTGCGAGGACCTAAACCACGAAGCCTGAACCGCAAACGCTAGGAGCCCCGACACCTAGTTGAAACCCTCCATTGGGAGCTAGGATTAGGGGGACCCTTGGGGATATAGACCCTCTCAATAAGGTCCCTTTTCAGAGAGCCAAAAGTCGGGTTCAGAAGGGGTACCCTTTAAGGGGTTTAGGGTTTAGGGTTTAGGGTTTAGGGTTTAGGGTTTAGGGTACCCCTAATAATACTACCTATCCACGGAAGAGCAGTTTTGAGTGCAGAAGAGTACGACTCTCTGAGAGTCAACACGCGCCATCGCTTGAGACTTCTTGCAACGAGTGGGAAAACCTCATTGGATTTTGCCGGGTTTGGGGTGTCGGATTGATGCTACAGGGCCCTGGGCTGGGTTGGGGTTGTAGGTGTTTATGTTAAAGGTCCTGGTATATACTCACACAGATCATCCAACATCTTTCAATTAAGGAATACTGAATATACTTTGAAGCAAATTAGTGATCCTGCTATAATTTCAGGTATATGGGTAGTTCTCTAAATGAGGGTCCCTTTGACGTCTTTGAGGTCCTTTTTATAAGGGTGCCTTACTATTTCGGGGACTTGAGGGAGACCCTAGCTTAGAGAACTACCCATATTCCTCAACTAAGTCTAGGACACATTCAGGTGGGTAGTTGCCGTTATAGGAGCCTTATAGAAGGTCTTTATACCTTATAG